GTGTCTCTTCCAGGCAGAAGTGGCGTTAAGGAGGAGAAAGTGTGAGGATGTGAGTGGGGAACCAGGAGCTTCAAAGATGGGATGTATAATCATCCTGCTTCCTTCTCTCTTCTGTCCAGTTTCTCATGGTGATTGCTGAACAGTGAGAGTGCTGTTTGCAGCTCCCCACCCCAGCGCCTTTTCCGAACCTTCTCAGGCTTCCTCTTCACTTTCTGTGGTGTCTGTGGCTCATAAGCAACCTTGTAGTTTACTCAATCTCTCCTTCTCCGGTTGTTCTTCCGACTTGTCTCTTCTCTTGTACCTGACTTCTCTTTCCCTTTGTCTTTCATGTGGTTTTTCTTCTGTAAGTTAGCAACACTTTTTGAAGATTTGCTTGCCTTTTGATTGCTTTTAATTTTTCATGAGACTATGACCTCTGATCGTGTCCTGTTGAATCTCTCTGCTGCTGGCAGCAACCTCATACACACAGTGGCAGCTGGTACTGTGGACAGTGTCTTAATTAGGTTTTCTATTGTTGTGATAAAATACCATTGACCAAAAGCAACTTGGGGAGGAAAGGGTTTATTTTGTTTTCGCTTCAACATCACAGTTCATCATGGAAGGCAGTCAGGGCAGGAACTCAAGGCAGGAAGCCAGAGGCAGGAGCTGAAAGAGGCCATGGAGGAATGTTGCTTACTAGCTTGCTCCTTGCGGCTTATTTGGTTTTACTTTAGTCTTTGCTGTTGTTGTTGTTGTTGTTGTTTTTTTTTTTAATGTATGTCTCAATACTACCTGCCCAGGAAAGTACCACCACAATGGGCTGGACCCTGCTTCATTAATCAATCACCAGTCAAGAAGATGTCCCACAGGCTTTCCTACAGGCAATCTTATGGAAGCATTTTCTCAAGTGAGGTTCCCTCCTCTCAGATGACTCTGGCTTGCATCAGGTTGACAAAATTTTAGCTAGCACAGGCAGTATTTGCTCTAAAGCCATGAACCACAAGCAGGGAGTTCTTTCCAGTGGGGTCTCTGACATCATTTTTTCTTATTACTGTGATAATTAAGCGAGCAGCTCTCTTATTAAGAGCTCGGCATGGGTATGCCTCTGGGGAACTGTTCTGATGTCTGTAACTTTTGGAAGGTCTGCTATGACTCCCTTAAGGAGTTTCTTAAGGGAGCATCAACTTGATTATAAAATAAACACACTGTCTAGATCTAGTCATCTTTGATGCTACCTCTCCTGAAGACACACTTTGGTCTTACAATAATAATCAGTGATTTCTCAGAAACAGAGAAGGGTCTTCGTGAAGGATTTCAAGCTTCCTGAATGCTTCTGAGACTAAAGAATGGGAGTACCTTTAGGCCTTGCTGTCCTGGCATCAGCGACATGAGGCCCTGAGGTGGCTTACTTGCCTGTGCCTTGACAAATGGGGAAAGATGGCCTAGTAATAGAGGAAAAAACATTCTGAGGGCAGTGAGATAATAAAATCAAGCTGGTTTATGGTTTGTCAGTCCAGGAAAGCTCTGAAAGCATGTCTGAAAGGTGGGTGCACTTAGCGTTTACTCTGCATGCAGGCCTCATTGTGTGGTAAGGGGTATAAATTTAGCCTCTTTAAGTCTCATCTGGAGGGGGAGTAAGATTGGAATGTTAGAATGAACTTTATTTGAAAGCACTATCGAGTGGGCTTTGACTTGGCCCCTCCTTCCCAAGAAAGGTGCCGAATAATGGCTGGCCTACTGTTCGGATTTTTCGTTTCCTTAATTTACTTTATGAGCCTTTTCCCCTGCCCTCACTCTCCCCTCTCGATATCTTAACCATTCTTCTTCATAGTAAAGTGTGTGAGAGGGGGAGCGAGGGAAAGAGAAATCAGCTGTCACATTGTGAACGTAATTGATTCAATAAATAACATCTTGGAAATCCCAGGGCATAGCTTGGAATCTTTATTTCCGTCAATTAGCGGCCTGGTAAGTGGTGGAGGTCTTAATTTAGACGGATGAGGCAGTTTACAGATTAGTTCTCTCTTCCCAAGGAAGAGTGTGCCCTCTGTGTTTTAAAGACACGCCGTCTGGATGTGCGCAGCTACTCCGAAAGAAGAACTTCTGTTGTGGCGGTTTCCGTACCTCCTGGAAACAGCAGGACATTTCATTATTTAGGGGGGGTTGTTGGAACGTGAGAAGATTGAAACAAGAAAGGAAATTCCTTGTAAATTCTATTAGGGCAGGGACTTTTTCTTCGCTGTTTACTATTGAACATCCAGTGCACGTAGTGGGCACACAGTAAATATTACGCAGGCATATTGTTGGGCAAGTGACAGCGGAAGGGAACCTGGTCTGGGTCTTAGAATTGGGTTGGCTTTTATCCCACTGCTTGCTGCTCCTCTGGTCCCCACTTCTTCCCCAGTGATTTAGGAAGCTAGGTCTTCTTAAGATTTACTTTTCATTATATGTTTTTGTGAGTGTGTATGCATGCGAGCACAGGTGTCTGAGAAGGTCAGGAAAGGGTGTAGGATCTCCTGGAGCCGGGAGTTGCAGGAGGTTGGGAGTTGTCTGATGCGGGTGCTGGGAATTTGAACCCAGGTCCCCGGCAAAGAGCAAGTCATCTCTCTGGCTCCACCAGGAGACTGATTTTTAAAAATACAGTTTGAGGGAACAACTCCAGGTATGATAATAGGAAGCCTACTTCATCATGCCCAGATGGGCAGAGCCGGAGGGCATCCTACAAAGGTTCTAAGTTGCATTTCAGAATCTCACAAGGTGTGTTATCAACGCACAGTTCCAGGTCCTGTCCCTGGAGTTTCTGATGAAGTCACTTTTGGGGCTGAGGAGCCTGTAGTCTCTTTTGTGGATGGTCCTAGTTGGTTTGGTGTGTTGGGAAGAGATGGCCTTAAAGTCCCTTGACCTTGGTAGTTTAAGACACTGCTTGGTAAAAGTGACTATCCTAAGGAACCCAGCTTTGGAAGGGCTGTGAGCTGAAAATAGGGTCCAAGTCTCCTGGCTCAGATGATTGCTATTGTCTTGTGGTTTGCTGTCCTGGTTCATCTGACAAACCATTCCCCTCAGATCCTTGAATACTGCAGCATTATCTGGGGTGATGGCCCTGGCAGAACTGGAAGGCCCTTCATAATCTTATCTCAGTTGTTCTGCTTTGGTGTGAAAGATGTGTGTGTGTGTGTGTGTGTGTGTGTGTGTGTGTGTGTGTGTGTGTACTTGTGTGTTTCCATGTATGTTTATGTGTACATGTGTGGGTGTGTGTATGTATGTGTGTGGCATATGTTCATATGGGTATGCTTATATGGGCATACAAGGTTCACATGTTTATATATGCATGTGGAGGCCAGAGGTTGCTGTTAGGGATCATCTTTGATCGTTTTCCACCATATCTTTTTGAGATGGGTCTCTTGTTTAACCTAGGATCCATGGATTTGTCTAGAAAGGCTGGACAATGAATTCAATATAGCAATCTATCTGTCTCTGCTCCCTTGTCTCCCAGTGCTGGAAATATAGATGTGTTGTTAAGGTTTGTTGTTTGTTTGTTTGTTTTTGTTTTGTTTTTGTCTTTCAAAAGAATTGTATTGGGTGTTTGAACTTAGGGCCTCATCTTCATACACCAAGCACTTTAACCGTGAAGCCACTTCCCCAGGCCCTATTTTATTACGTTCACAAGTGATGCCTTTGATTCCTTCCAATCCCTGTCTCCTAGCTCACACAAGCACCCATGGTGAGTCCCAACCCTTCTTTCGTGGGCCCACTCAATGTTGCCCAGCCCTCCTTGATCTTAAGAATCAGGTGAAACGTAAAGATGAAGAGCTCTGGGCCCCTCCCCAGAGTCCCATTGGACCCTCTTTTCTGGGAGAGGCTTGGGGAACAGTTTTCAAGCTCTTTCCAGTGCTACTATTCTCAAGATTTCTAGTCTGTGTGTACAGCAGGCCTTTCCTTCTGGATCCGGCTTAGCCATCTTTAAAACCCTACCTCATGAGTATGCCTCAGTCCCATCCTTCTGTCTGCAAGCTATTCTCTGGCCTGCAGAACTGGTTTTCAAAGTAGGAGAGGAGTATCTACCATCTTCTTTCCTCCAAGAACAGGTGGCAGGCAGGGTGGTGTGGGAAATCATGGACTGAGCACCGAGCAGTGCAGAAGACTGGTGTGTGAGGCTGAAACTAGGGTGGAGTGCCTGTGTGCTTTCCCTGGCATCAGAACATTAGAGCTTTCGGCACATGGTTAAACCTCATTGAACATCTGTGTTCTAACTAGGAAAGCAGTTTTGTGTGTGTTAAACAAGGTGTCCGAGGTGGAGATTTGCACAAGGAGTGTATTGGAAAGGGCTCTTGGGAGCATCTCTGTAGGAGGAGGGAAGCCTGAGAGGCTGGCTGAGATACAGCTACGCCATGGAGAGCCATGACGGTGCATTGCCTCTTAAATTTGTTGGCAATTGAGGGAAGAGAGTCATTCTATCTTCATATCCACCAATCATAGGATATGGACTGTCACTGGAGAAAGGGCATGACCTCAGGTGATGTTCTGCATTGGCTGAGATGTCTGTGTGCCTTCAGCGGTCCATAATAGGTGCTTGTGGATAGGGAAAGAGTGCCTTCCTCTTGGAGAGCATCTCGGTGGGATATGGCAGCACCTGCTGTCCGCACCAGCGCGCATGAACCTTGGCAGTGAAACCAGCACAATTGTCAGTGTTCAGCAAACATTTATGGTTGCCATTATCCCAACTCTGGCAAGCTGTACCACTTGTGAGACATTGCTTACCTTGGCTTGGGCTGCTTTCTGATGTTGTAAGCAGATTCCAAACTCTGCTCTGCCCACCTCCTAAACAGCTTCGAGAACACATGGAGAAAGCAGAAGAGGAATTGCTGAGTGAAATATTACAAAAATGTCAGGGATGACTGAGCCCACTTTTCTTCAATGAATATATGGCCGGGACCTGGATTCCCTAAAGGGAAAAGGTTGTGATAAATGTAATGGTGCTTGTCTATGAAAGATGGCGTTTTGATTTTTCTCTCTTCTCTCCATAGGGAATTAGGATAATGGAGATGCTGCTAAAGGAACAGTGTGGTGCTCCCTTAGTGGAATAAAAATCACCAGTGAGTATCAAAAGCAAAATCAGAATTATTTACTCAAGCCATGCTTTCACGCTTATAAACCTGGCGTTATGAATCAGCCTCCCTGGTCTATCCATGCTGTACGTTTCCCAGTGATACCCATAGAACACTATTTCACAGGCGTTTTGTTATCTGCTCAGCAGCTTTATTTGCTTGGCTTTCTGATTTTCAAAGCAGTTTTGTACTGTGCGCCGAGTTACAACTGCTTTCAAATCGCTAAAGCTGTTCGGTATAATCGACCATGATTGAGGCCCTTGAGGTGGCAGAGATTTGTAAAGGCCGCTCTCAGGATTAGCTGAAGCTTGCTTATTGTTCTCAGAACAATAAGAAGGGAGGCTTAAAGCCGTAATTGGGGCAGGAAGGATCACAAGAACAGACTGTGTTGATTGGCCACTAAAACAAATCCATTTTACTAGTCTAGAAACGAATCCCCAAGACCAGAATGCGAAATTCTCCCAAATATGCAGCTTTCTGAATGCGGACCTAAAGTGTGGTGTGACAAACTTTATGCCTGACCTATTTGGTTGGTGGCAGTCCAAACAAGGTAAACTGAAAGTAGTGTATGTAAATTATCTTCAGTCTATATGAAAAGGAAATGAAATTAGTGTTTACACTTGGATACTAATCCCAGGGAATCTTATTATGTATGTACAAATATTGCACAAATACGAAAATTTTTCTAATCCAAAATACTTCTGGTTCCAGGCAGTTTGGATAAGAGATACGTAATAAACATATACTCCCCACCACCTGAAATGCTATTTTGAAGGAATCCAAATCTTAGGAATAGTTCTTGGGCTCTGGCTTGAGTGTCTTGAGTGGTTAGGAGTGTTTGTCATGGCACAGACTAGCAATTCAGAATTTTCTTAGGCCAATTTAAAGGGACACTACAAACAATTTCCTATAAACAACCTGGTGTTTCAATTGTGGTATACAATGAACTTGAGAACAATTAACCAAAGAAGAATTGTTAGGCCCCTTCACATGCTAGTACCTTGAGTTTAAACCCTGCCAGCCATGCCTCTGAACAGACACTGGTTGGAGAGCTGAGTTTCTGTTTATTTGCAAGTTGAACGCCCATCATTCTGATGAATGCTTAGCTGTATACACTTGACATAGCATAGATCTCAATGTTACTGTTGGGCTAAAACAGATAATTTTAGTTAATACAAGCATGGCACATAGTAGGTGCTCATAGAGTGTTAGAATTGAGTCTAAATATGATTTGCTAATATATCCACCCTGTTCTTTAAACAAATTGTAAAGAACTTGGCTACATCCCCGTTTTTCTAGGCTGGCATATTTGTGAGGCTCACTATGTTAGTTACTCTGCCCACTACGGTAATAAAGTACCTCACAGTAGCGACTTTAAGGAAGAAAGACTTATCTGGGCTTATGTTTTAAAAAGGGATGGATCACATTATGGTGGTAGTATTGTCAGGGTGACTGGTCACATTGCCTTCACAGTAGGAAGCTGACAGACAAAAATATTGGTGCTCATTCTGTCTTCTCCTTTTTCCATTTATGTTAAATTCAGAATCCTAACCCATGACATGGTGCCACCAACACTCTGGGCATGTCTTTCCTTCTTGGATAAATTTTTCTGGAAATATGTTCACAGACTCACCTAGAATTGTCTCTCCTAACCACCTCCAAATCCAGTCAGTTGAAAATGAAGACAAGTCTATCCTTTCTCAATCTGACACCCAGACACCTTAAACTATAACATCTACCCTACCCTTTGTCCTCAAGGGTTCATGGGCATCTCATAATGTATTATGAGACATACTAAATACATCTCATAATGTAATAAAAGATTCCAATTAAAAAAAAGCTTTTGATGGGTCTTATGAACAGACACACACACACACACACACATACACACACACACACAAAAACTAGCCACATATTAGTAAGAAATGATTAATCTATTCAAGCAAGGCAACTATAGCTTGTATAACATGTATGATTAGAGTCCCCAGATGATGATGATAATTAGCTGTTATTGTTCAATATCCACCTATTTTCTGCACAGACCAAATAGACTTAAATGGACATATGGTTGGAGCCACCATCCCTGTGGCCTTGATGGTGGCTATCATCTTCATGATCTCTCCGGGGATTCAATAATGGCTTTGCTTCACTGTAGTCCCAGGTAGAGGCATCTCTAATGGCTTCCATTTGGCTTCAATCTTAATAGACCACACTCTCACTAAGTACTAATGTGCTTGTGCACTTGGGCACTGATCCTGACTCACCCAGAGAGTGAGATCTGAAGACAGCTAAGTTACGTGAGGGACTTTGGGAAGGCATGTGCCTGCTAGTTTCTAAACTTTGAATTAGTGGTCTTGAAATTTTAGTGAACATCAGAAACATCTGGAGGATTTGAAAGCATAGCCCAGTGGGCCCACTTCTGGAGTTCTGGTTGATCAAGTCTTGCGAGGGAGGGAGTCTCCTGAGCTCATCTTTGGGTAGAGATGATGGAGGCAGTCAGTGCTAGGACACCAAGAAAACGGAGAGCTGGGTTTTCAGAATTTTTGCGTGTATGTCCACCTTTATATCAGTAATCAGAATGGGTTTTCATCTGTTGATAGAGTTTTCTGTCCCTCCCAGACCTGCAGTCATTCAGTCCCAAAGAAACACACAGAGGTCTACATTAATCATAAACTAGTTGTCTTATTAGCTCAGGCTTCTTATTAACTCTTACATCCTATATCAATCCATGATTCTTGTCTGTGTTAGCCACATGGCTTGGCACCTTTTATCAGCGAGGCATTCTCATCTTGCCTCCTCTGCGTCTGGGTTACGACTGTGGACTCAATCTTTCCTCTTCCCAAAATTCTCCTGTTCTGATTGCCCTGCCTATATTCCCACCTGATCACCCTGCCTATACTTCCTGCCTGTCTACTGGCCAATCATCATTTTAATAAACAAGTACAAGACACAATCTTTACAGAGTACAAGACCATATATTTTTCTCTGATTTTTTTAAATCAAAGCCTCTTGTCTATCTGTCTGTCTGTCTATCTATCTATCTATCTATCTATCTATCTATCTTCTGAATGTAGACTAACTCCAGGTTAGAGCAAACTCACCTGAAAAGAGGAGTGAAGGCTCATGCCAGCTTGTGGTTCTAAGTCAGTCTGGGTTTAAAGTGTTGTTAGTAAAGATGAATAAATTTAAAAAGTTTACAGTGTGACCTCTTATCTTCCAGCTATGTCCAGCCTGAGGCCCATGTGGCCCAGGACAGCTCTGAGTGCAGTGCAGCAAAAAAATAATAAACTCACTAAAAAGTACTTTGGAGTATTATTGTTATTGTTATTATTGCTATTATTTTGGCCTGTGTGTGTGACTTAATCACACAGATCTCCCGTGTAAACTCTGTAGATGATAATATTTTTGTAGTATCGAGAGGTGGGACACTTGGATTGTCTTTTTTTCTTTCGTTTAACCATGTGAGGCTAACCTATGACTTGGGCCTTTCCTGGTGTGTATATATATATAAAACCCAACTTACTCCATAAAAAGAAACAGCTTGCTCTGTCTCAAATAGCTAAATGGTTGAGGTCGGCTTAATGCCAGAACTTCAGAGTGGGGCAGTAGCACTCGATGTCACAAAATTCCTGTGTTCTATGCATAGAGTAGGCTGTCATAATTCATTACCCATTTTCTCAAAGTAGTAAAGGTAAAGGAAAGGATATATATTCTTCACATCTGCATCTACAATTACTATAAATTAAGGGCTACTGTTTAAGCTTTAAGCTGTTCCCCAGATCAGCTTCATTGAGTTATTATTTATATGCAAATAAATTGATGATTTAGTTGTTGATTTTGTAGTGTACCGTCTTGTGAAGTATAAATAAATAGTTCTGTAATCATCACTGCAAATCAGATTCAGAAAAGTTTGAGGCTTTGATGTCATAGCCCAGCTACAGCTTTATTCTCTTCCCTCCCCATTTTCTTGACAATTTTTACCAAGATTCTATAGTTTGAAATGCTTTTGTCTTGATGGAACCTTTTTCCTTTTTCAAAAATAGCTTTATGAAAAATAAGTTGTAGGTGGGGACTGTGATGTTCTTGAGATGTAAAGTGATAAAATTAAATAGAAAGGGGCCAGCATTTGGGAGGATGGGGCAGTATTGCTGAGAGATTCGGAGTAGTCTGGGCTATGGAGTGAGACCTGTTTCAAAACTAAAAATAACATCTTAGAAGATGGCTTACTGGGAGAAGGTGCTTACCCCCAAGCCTGGTAGTCTGAGTTCAGTCTTGTGAACTCAGGTAGTAGAAGAAGGGTACTGACTTCCACAAGTTGTCCTATGGCCTCCACACGTGTGCTATGTGTGCACACACATAAACACACACACACACACACACACACACACACACACACACACGCACGCACACACACACACATAACTAAAAAGTTGTAACAGCAGGTCACTTGTTGCTTCCCGGCTGCTTGGTCCTGAAATTATCACACAGAAACTGTATTAATTAAATCACTGCTTGGCCCATTAGCTCTAGCTTTTTATTGGCTAACTCTTACATTTTAATTTAACCCATTTTTATTAATCTGTGTATTGCCATGTAAGTGTGGCTTACTGGGTAAAGTTCTATCTGGCATCTGTATCCGGTGGGGGCTACATGGCTTCTCTCTGACTCCATCCTTCTTTCTACTTTGCTATAGGCCAAGTCAGTTTCTTTATTAACCAATGGTATTTACAGCATACAGAGGGGACTCCCACATCAAAATCAAATAAAATAATATTAATATAATAATGGGTAGGAGAGACCACACAGAGAATAGAGTTCAGAAAACTATGCCCTTTGCTGTATCCAGGCTGCTGCTTTTATAAATAAAGATTTATTGGAACACAGCTGTGCTCTTGGCTACCTTTAAAGTTGCAATAGCAGACTTGAATAGTTTTGATAGAGAACTTGCAGTCTTTAGATTCTAAATTATTTACTTTTACTTTATTCTGCTTTTGCTGTTTGTTGGGAACAAGAAGGGCAAAGCTTGTTGTCTCCTGAGTTAGTTTCATAAATTAACATCAAGGATTGTGGTGGTGATCGTGTAGCCTTTTAAAACTGTGAAATGGATCACATCATACCTCCGCTCTATAGTTTGACAGTTTATCTCCTCTGTGTTCGTGCTAACACCTCCCTTAGTGAAGACTCGCATTGTGCTATCTATCTTAAGGCATGAAGAGATATTTAAATGCTAACAACAATGAAATTAAAAGTATCATCAACAGTGGTCACTGGTATCACTCAGAGAGTTCCAGTACACATGCAATAGAAATACAGACATTCTGATGGCATAGACAGTGTCACTGTAGCATGGTAATACTATGAGCACTGTTTTTAATTTAATTGATATGCCAACTTTTAAATTCTGCAGCTCTCCATTTTTTTGTCTTTTGCATATATGCGTATGTGTATGTATACATTTATTATATGCACAAATCCAGGTGCGTGCGTGCGCGCGCGTGTGTGTGTGTGTATGTGTGTGTGTGTGTGTGTATGTGTGTGTGTGTGTGTGTGTATGATGGTGGGAAGGAGGAAGGGAGGGGGTGGTATTCTGAAGTATTGATTTTTACCTTGTACTTTATTCGAGACAGAGTCTCTTGCTTTTTCTGCCAGGCCTGGGAGTGTTTCGGGAGTTTCTTGTTTCCATTTCCAATCTTGTCTGAGTGCTGGGATGATGGACACATGCACTATTGTGTCTGTCTTCACAGGGTCTCTGAACATTTGGACTCAGGACCTCATGATTGTGTTTTGAACACTTTACCTTCTCAACCACCTCCCCAGCCCAGTTCTCTGTCTGTAAAAGACAACTTGCAGAGTTACACAAATGTGCAAGACGAAAGATTATTTCATATTTTTACTTTACTTGCCTTTAATCCCAGCACTTAAGATGCAGAATTCCAGACCAGATAGGGCTAAACCTACCACCCTCCACCACAACAAATGTAGGATTTAAATCCATGTAACATATGCCTGTGTTTTCCTTGGTACCTAGCATCAAAATAACATCCATGAACTCTCTGACCTGTGTGTCCAAGGGGGCATTTGAAAATGGAGAAAGCTTAGAAGGTAATTTTCTCATGGACCAAAGTGGAGCCTTATAAATCTCACTAACCAATATGCTTGTGGCATTGCTGCTGACATGTCTGTTTGATGGATTTTTGATTTCCTGTCACTTTTGAACAAAACAAATAGCCCTGACATCTGTTTGTTCTTGCCACTGGCATGCAGGAGATCGGCGTGGTGAGGTTTGATAACACAGTAGAGTTCTATCTCGTCGGAATGATTAAGACCTCACTTTTAGCTGTATCTTCAGCTCCACTCTGAACCAGCTCCTCTAGGTAGCTGGACTTAATAAAATGAGGTGCTTGCCTTGTTTGGAGATCATTAGGAGGTAGGAATGCAATTTCTTCAAGAATTATCCATAGTGAGAGAATTCAAGTGACTCTTGGGAGTTGCTTCAGAAAAGAGGGCAAATAAGTATTGATTGGTGAGACGTGTTTATTAGGTGATAAAACCTATTTCTTTCTCTTGCAGGGAAGCTGCTGTTGTGTTTACTCTTTTTTTTTTTTCTCCCAATCACTTCTTGGCTGCGGCTTCATAGGCAAAATTACTGGATGCAGTTTCAGGACACAGACTCAGTGACTTAGAGAAGAGGAGCCTTTCCCGCAGGAACATGGACTGACACTCCACTTTGGAGCCTGCTTCAAGTCAGGGGACTCATGGAGATGAGACCTTTCTAGCTGGAATTTTATGGCATGATCTCTTTACAATCTTACGAATAAAAGGAAGGAACATATCAGATGATATCTGTGCTTCCTCAAGATGTTTTGCTGATTTTCTATAATGGTGTCAGGGTGGCCGAGGGCAGGATGAAGGCCCACGTGAGGCACCTTGTGCTCACTCACCAGCTGACGTCATCAGAGTTCATAGGATCCAGGAGAGGATTCTGGAACACATAAAGAGGTTCACCCTGGTACCTCTCTCCAGAGAGATGGAATAAAAAGACAATGTGCCAGAACTGTGGTGAAGCTAAACCACATGTATACCATGATCAGCTAACCACATGTATACCATGGTCAGCTAACCACATGTATACCATGGTCAACTAACCACAT